GCGCTTGGTAAGAAGCGCACTCAACCGGGCTAACCCGCCGCTATCAACACTTCGAAAAACGCGAATAATGCAGTTCTTCTTGAAGCGAATATCGAATAGTGTACTATTCGGAACTACTATTCGAGATTTCGAATATTCGCACAACCCTAATACGGTGACATTCGGGGCGGCGGAGAATAGGTCACCGGAGAAAAGCTAGCCGCCAAACTGTCCGATGGTTAGAAAAGCTCACCGGCCTTTTGACCGATGTGGAGAAAAACTCACCTACGAATCTAAGCATCGAGCGTTGACTCAAATGAAACAGGTTAATTCAACTGAAGTATGCTGGCACACTTTATGCGCATGCGGTGGTTCTGCACTTCACTAGCAGAATATATTCTTAAAATATAAAAACATCGTGTAACGCACCAGGCGTTGCAGACAAAAATAAACTAAGTAATTTTGATAGAGCGCTACTTAAAAATAAAATAACGGGGGAATATGACCAATGCAGAGGTCTGCAGCTCAGCTAGTTTCTATACACCTTTTATGTAGTATACCGGCACCGCACTAGCAAATCTCCATATTTCACCATTTATTAAGGAAAAAGTGGTTTACATTCTCACTTTCTTCGAACGGAAAGTAAAAATGGTCGTATTTCCTCTATCCGGCTACGTGATAATTAAGTATGGTAAGACTCACGCGAAATGGGCTGACATAATAGCGGAACGAGGGCTACAGCCAGGGTGGAGAAAGAAAAATAAAGATGACTTAAATCGTGATTTAGATCAGGCCGGTTTTACCAGGATCATTTAAATCAAAAAAAAAAAAAACATTTAAAAAACATTATTTGTTTTTGTTGATATTTTTATATTGTTATATATTTTGTGTTTCAATCAAAGAATCATCACACAATAAGGAATTATATCGGACTGAACGCGAGCAAATGGAAGCATTGAGCGCTTTATTTCTTCCTCCAACTTCGTTCGTCAGTTACTTAACATCTTTTTGCAATGAAATCAGAACGCAAGTATAGAAACGAAAACTGAGAAAGTAATGTCGTATTGCTAGAAAATCAAATCATAAAAAAAGAAGAAAAAAAAAGCTGTTTTTGTTTTAGTATGGTGGGATTTTCACGAACAAAAAGTTGTTAAAATTGCACTAATTGTTTTTTCTGTATTGTGTTCGCTGATCGGAAGCATTCATCAAGCAACCAGCCGTGTTTAGAAATGCATATAGTAAAAAATAATCAATAGTCGCTAGCTACAGTGATACTAGTCTGCTTTAAATAAAATTAACATAATTTTTTTTATCTGAATTTTTTTTTTGCCCACAGCAGAGCAATATATTGTGAGGTGTGTACACTGCGTTACCCTGTCAACATAAACAAATGATCAACTTTCATTGTGTTTTACATTTTAGTGGTTGTTATTAACGCTACTAGTTCGGTGCAAATTGCTCATTCGGGGCACAAACTTACGCGATAAAAGTTTGATGCTGATCAACCCCTCCTCTAAGTAAAATGCGAAAAATCGCTTCCCGCTAACATTGTTGCACGGTGTACCGCCTGCGTGAGAGACGCATAAAACCTTGGTAGTATTACTGCTATTAACGGCCACTTTACATATTAATTTAATTTAAGGTGAGCTTTTCCCCGGGTCTGTCAAGATGAGTGAGCTTTTCTCCGGACCCTCACACAAGTGGGTGAGCTTTTCTCCGGTGAGCTTTCCTCCGGAATTCGACATCTGTACAATTATGTGCCTTATGGCTCCATTGAAAATAACTGATCAAAGAGAAATCCTGCTACAATGCTTTTTTATGTGACTGAAGCTTGCATCTTCTCTTCCCTTCATGTTAGTTGGACAAACAAAACTGCCGGGACTTTTTCTGGTGCTTATGGGGTCCAGCACCAAAACACATGGACTTTGGACATCTGAATCATACTGTAGTCAACTTAATAAACCATTTTACTTTGAATGACAGACGTGGTGTGTGCAAAAAAGCTCAACATGACAAACAACACAAACACAATGTCGGTCAGAAACATGTGCGACTACCATGCAGAAGCGTATTGAATTAAACCTTTAGTCTCGCCAAGAAAAGTAGGCCAATCGTAATTACCAGTCTAATTTGTTTGCCCTTCTAGAGTTGAACCAAAGGTTCCAGCCAAACTGGGTAATCAGCCGAACTGGGGCCACAGCCGAATCGAGACTTCACCGTTGACAGTCTGCGGCGGCTCATTCACGCGCACCAGTGATCAGAGGTGGACTTAGCATTTTTCCGCCCTGGGCAGCGTTAACACTGCACCCCCCCCCCCCCCCCCCCCCCCCGACCATGGGGAGCGAGGGGAGCAAAACTGTCGAGTAGTTAAGCGGTCAAACTCGTTGAAAGTTCACATTTTCAAAAGTAGCTAGATTTGGAGCTAAAATTCCCAAAGTAACCAAGTTCGAAACTGAATAAAAGTAAAATAAGAAAGAGCCAATTAATTTGGGGGCTGTTACAAATTCAGTATATACAGCGCCAAAAAACGACAGGACAAAGACGAGAGTAAACAGGACGAGGCGCAGGGCGCCTCGTCCTGTTTACTCTCGTCTTTGTCCTGTCGTTTTTTGGCGCTGTATATACTGATCATGAACCAACTAGCCCAAAGTTCTACTTTGCTGTTACAAATTGGCCGCCCTCTAAATTCTGCAGCGCTTGGTAGCTACCTGTCCGCTCCTGCTAGTTATACACGCGCAACGTGAGTGTGTGTGTGTCTGGGGGGGGGGGGGGGGGGGGGGGTTGTGCTACTAAATACGTTTTCAGATTACCGCATTCCTTTTCCCTTCGCCGCTCGCCTTTGTATTCGCCGAATGTGGTCACCTGGGCAGAAATGCCGAGCGCCCTGCTACACCAGCGCCACTATAGGGCAGAGTTTGGGAAAGCACTGCTTAGCATTCCTCAGTAGAATGCAGACCGAGAACGGTACAAGAAGCCCACGAAATGTCACCCTCGAAATGATCGTATTTCTAAGAGCAAAAATAATTTTACTTCATGTAAACATGTTTAGATAACTATCTGTAGCGCTACACCCTGCTGGGGCTAATGAAAACACCGATTAATACTTATCGTAGCAAACTAAGCTTGTATTCATGGTGGTTGTGCCCGGCAGTCTTCGAAACGTTGAACGCACACTGCGAGCTTCCGATATCAACACAAGCTCACCACTGAACCGATGTCGTTTCCCGAGGCGACGCCAACCCAGGTCCGCGTACGGGCGGTTTAGGTTGACGATCAAGCCCTCCGGTGCGATACGTAAGGAAACAATTTTCTTTGTGACGCAACATATCAGTAGAGTCTTGATAGCGTCGTTGCACTTTTGGTCAGCTGTAACGTCGAACACATCCCGCGAGCAAGTACGCTTCCTGGCGTTCGTGTTGCCGCCAAAAACAATAATAGCACAAAACTGCGTTCGCACTTTGCTGTTGATGCTTCTCGGTAACAATTCTCTCTTTTTTCTTGATCAAATTTAGCAAATATAGGGAACACAGGAATCCGTAATCACGAACCGCCCACTTCACAGAGCAGCACGGCTGGTCCTCTCGTCGTCTCGAGCGCTGCATGAAACATGGAGGATTTTGCGCAGCGTTGCCAGACTCTTTTTGTGATTGCGGTATTCTGAAAACCTATCCAGCGACGCTAAAAGGGGAGGGGGGGAGGTTACGTTAGAACGCGCTCCAGTCATACACGCGCAACGCCTGCCGGCCGGCGCAGCAATCATGCACGTAGCGTTGCCATGTCTGTCGACACAGCGTCCTATTAAAAGAGCAGCATATCCTGCACGAGCGGCTTTGCAATGCCGCATGAATCAATGTGAATCAACGTCACCCACCAAATATAAATGTTTCCCTGTGTTTCAACCTTTGTTTTTTTTTCTCTATCGAGTGAGGCCAGTTGATGTTGTTTGACTCGAGTCATACGAAGCTTTCGACTGAGTGTTCCAACATTCTTTACTTCACGAACGCTATTTCTTGTGCTGTGCATTATATGAATGGATGCAGTGGGGTTTACTGAGTTTAATATGTAGCAGTGCGTGATGCATTGATGCCTGCTCAATCGTTTCGAGCGTGCCCTCCAGCATTTCACAGGGATGTCTGCCTCGGGACCAGTACTTTTAATGCAGTACGATTACATTCTTACCGAAGCTAACTTGGAAGTTGGCGAGCGTTGGTCGTCGCCTAGCGGGAGCGCGGGGCATTTAAGGACACGAGCGCTACGTCAGCGCTCGGACTCGTGCCAGATTAAGGACAATCCCAGTTCAAGCCGAACGATGACGCGGCACTTGTGTTCAATTTTTGTCCTTCGCTGCATCTCCGGTTAGTGTCGAAAGAAATCCAGCACTACGGAACTTTTCTTAGATATAAACGCCCAATGAACCGAAGTATGTTTGGATGGATACGGCTGAACCCTTTTAACCGGACGGCGGCTCGCGTCACCTAGCCAAAGTTTCTAATTCCAACAATGAATCGATCTCCATTTCATATCGCCGCTAAGCACTAGCATTCATCTAGCATTCTCTTCAACTCAAAGTTACCATCCGTGCGACGGTGACGCCCTCAACCTTCTCCACAAAAATTCGGCGCTAAGCGGCGAGAGCTCGAACCACGCTTGGCGTCCGGAAGGAGCGTTGCGCTGCCTGTCCTGCGCCCTCAGCGATCCATCCGAGTCGCGGAGGAAGCAGAAGAGGAAGCGCTCTCTATCCGGACGCCAACCATGGGGTTCCAACTTTCGCGGCTGCGTGGTGATGCCCTGCGCCTGTGCAGAACTCACGTTACGCGGATGTAGAGAAAGCTGCTGATAGGTTTTGACTCGGGTAGAGTTGATAAAACGCCAAAGATTTAACGGCTACCCCCCCCCCCCCCCCTTTCCTCTTTTTTTTTTTTTGTAATATCTTTTGAGCGTGTTGTCCCGCAGAGTGTACTCCGTACGCATTCGGCTCTGCGCGGGGGCCCCGGCCCAGAGCAGCTCAGTCGACCTATGTCCTAGACGCCGGAGGGCTTCGGGTCGTACTCCTCCTGGATCATGGCGGCTCCCTTCTCGGCGATCATGTGCGTCGCTGCGTTCAGGTTGGCCGTGATCACGATGGGCATCACGGACGCGTCGATCACGCGCAGTCCCGCCACTCCGCCTCGAACCCTGCAGTGAGAGAGAGAAAGAGAGAGTGAGAGAGAGATAGAGTGAGGGAGGGAGGAAATAGGGAGGAATGGTGGGAGGGAGGGAGAGAGAGGGCGAGACACACGACCAGGGGCGTCACTAGGGCAGACGTGTACGTAGTTTAACTAAGTTACTCTAGTTGAACTACTTTTCTGAGTAGTTTAGTAACTTTTAGTTACATTTCTATTTCGGTAATCAGTAGTTTACTTTAAATGCCTTTTCCGAGTAACTTCTAATCAAATTAGAAATTACTTTTGAATTTTAGTGTTAGCTTTGATAATCAGCAAACATTCCTCCACTAAAAGATTAGATGTTGGAAGATCAGCTGATATTGGCAGAGAGAGGCATGCGTCCGAAAACCCCTAAATGTTTTACCAGCCTTCCACTGCAACAACCCTGCTACGAGGCGCAAGGAGTGGACAGACGCGTAGCATGTGAGGCCGAGTACTATGGGACTAACGCCGAAGGCTGGCGTTGTTTGTGTCCCGAAGCCCAAGGAGACTTGATGCACTTAAAGGAAGAACTTGTCCCCGCTTCCCCCATCGTAATAACTCTCGTCCACTACTCGAGGTGTACACGCTAAACCCTCACTCAAAGGAGGCACAAAAATGCGGGTTTGCTCTGGAACTCATCTGATGCATTCTAAGATTGTACTTGTACTTTTGTAAAATATTTTTTCTGGTACTTTCCGCGGAAAGCACAACTCCCGACTTTAAAATACATTCCCCAAACTTAAAAAAAAAAAAAAAAAAAATGTATTGTCGTGTAAAAGCGCGCTATCGTCTTTCGGGACGTCATCTGGTCATTTCTCTAAGTGAAGTAAAGGCGGCCATAAGACCGATACAAATAATCGCCTTATTAATTTATTAAGTTAAATAGTTCGTCAGCGAGAGTCAAGCAACTACTTTGTGGCAACTGGACTTTATTTAATATTTGCCGTCATTTCCGAGAAGACTGATGCAGCTCCGATTACCTCTGGATCAATACATACCAGTTAAAAACACTGTTTAGGGCAGGGTTGGCCAGGCTGACCCGTCCTAAGAGCCCCAGACAAAACCACGAAACTTTCCGTTTCAAATAAAACCTTTCAGTTGCGAGTACAGCTGTTGTCCTGCCATGTCTGTTCCCTTTTTCGTCCTCGTTTTTTGAAGCTGTGACACCCACCATGCCACGAAACTTCTGTTCAGAGCAATAAGCGAAACTCTTAACTACTTTCAAGCTATCCGAGTGAAAAGCAGTCCAACTGCACGTAAGATAGCAGTAGCAGAAGACTACCAAACCTCAACCTGTTTTTTTATTTAAAATGTGTTCCATTTCTCTTTTTGGGGAAGTGTTCGTGTGATCGGGTGGGAAGCGAGGGGGGGGGGGGGGGGGGGGGATAGCGATCCGTACTTTAGGCACACGAACAGTCGGATGCGGCTCGCGAGCCGCAGCTTGGGTTCCCCTGGTATAGTGGATGAAAAGGCATTGTGTAGTTTACTTTGAAAGTATATCGCATTATAGTACTTTACTTGACATGCATTGCACCCGGTGTACTTACGACTTTACTTGAAGTGCATAACCTCTCATATACTTTGTACTTCACTTCAAGTACTTTTTTTATGCACTTCACGGAACACTGTAAACAAGCAAACACCATCTGCAAAATCAAGCTGAGGCAGTGCTAAACCTCCAAATAGAAATGGTACATCACGGCGCAGTACATCATTGGCCAAAAAACAGACAAGTACAAAATAATTAGGCATGAAGCGGAACCAGTTATTAAGGCATTTCTGTAAAATCAGAAGCCGCTTTATATTTGATTAGCAGAACTTTTCTAACGGATCAAATCATATATGCAGTTTTTTTACCATAAAAATATAAAAGTAACTTCAAAAGTAATTCGCTACTTTTTACGGTAGTTAGTAATTTACTAAATTACTTTACATTGAAGTAATTTCTACTCTACTCAAATTACTATTGAGGCCAATAATCATTAACTTAACTTAATTACTTTATCTGAGCAACTCGTACCTGTCTGCACTAGGGTCAGTGCCACCCGGGGCGGTAGGCCGCCGCGACACCGCCCCCCACTACCCCCCTCCCCCCCCCTCCCCCCTCCCCGACCCGGTGATTGCCCGCCGCAATACACCTCCCCTCCTCCCCCGCTCGTTGGCCGTAGCGACCCTTTCTTCCTTTCTCTAGCCAGCTGCACCCCCCTGAGCGCTGCACCTTGGGCGGTGCAGCGCTCATCAAAGGATCGATTCCAGCGAGCGCTCACAGGCCATCCATCGGAGAGCGCGATGCATTCCGGGAGACGTGACGTCAACTGACTTGGCACGGGCAAAGCTGCTTGCGGGCTGGCGTGGTTATGAGCTCCGCCACTTAGGGTCGTCGACGCATTACAACCTGGCCCTTGTTAGTTGCGCCTACCCAGAGGAGTTGAATAGGCCAGGAGAGGAGGGAAATCCGGTTGGACGGGGCTCCCGCGCACGCAACTTGCAGTCATACTTGTGCGGAGCGGCGCTGCTTTTAATAGGGAGTTTTCGTAGATGGTTTTCGCCTTCCCGCAACGTTCTCCACAACCCGCTACGATACCCGGAACTCTGCAATCAAAACCATATCGGCGGCAGGCGGAGTAGCGGCTTCTTCGTTGCGCAGGGCTTAGCAGAGGGAAAAACGTAATCTACGAAAACTCCTTCATGTCAGTGACGTAACGACATTCGATCTATTTCTCTTAAATAATGTTTTGGTGTCTCTTATTCAAGCAAGACGTTGGTGTATCCGTGGTGTGGCCAGAACGTGGTTGACATTTCGACGATTAAATAAGCGCTACAGAATTTCGTAGCAGTATCCCTTTAAGGTTGGTTCACACAGCCCCGTTTACACACTTAGGTTTTTCTTTTTTTTACCACAACCGACTGGAGACGAGACCAGTTATTAAAAGGCCTCTGAAAATAAAAAAAAGATTTAAAAAGTCAGGGTAAAACACGAGTGTCAAAAAAATTAATTTTAAGCGCGCAAAAAAAAAAAAAAGTTTTTTTACAGCAATATTGACGGCGCGAGACGCGATTTAGTCGGTATATAGTCACCTCCTTTCCTTGGGATTTCGGGTCCGTGGAGAAGTGGATTGGCTTGGCCATCACGTTGAGGTGGAGAGAGTGTATGACCATCTCATTCAGGTGGAAAGAGCGTATGACTATTCCATGACGTCATGGACTTTGCGCGCAAGATATAAAATAAATCTCGCGCCGTAAATATTGCTCTAAACTTTTTCTTTTTCAAGCAAAATTAATTTTTCGACACACGTGTCTCAACAAGACTGTTTAAAAAACCATCTTTCTTTCTCTTCAGCGGCTTTTTAAGCCTTTTGGGATGACTTACGACCGGCTGCATTGCTCCTCTGCCAGTCGTAAGTCATCGCAAGATATTTAAAGACCGGTCCCGTCTCAGTCGGTCATGTACAGTTAAAAACACGTGTGTGAACGGGCCAATCGCTGTACTCTATGGAGCGCGTCCAACGAATAGCCACGTTTTGTAAATTGTACACTAGAAGCGGAGCGTCGCTATATAGCGGGAGCTTGCGTCGTCAACTCGAGCACGAATTGAGCAGGCGACCGCAGGGCCCGCGCTCCTCAGCATACGATCTAAGAAAGGTCCCTGAAGCCGGGGTCACGCTACTCGTACCTTATACAAAAGGCAGCCAGCAGACACTGTCCGCAGACGCGTGTTTTTTTTTTTTAATGCAAGATGGTCGTACAAGAACTCTCTACAGACATATTCGAAGCGTATACATTTATGTACGAAGCAAGCACGCTTCGAAAATGCATGAGGCGTGCCCGCAGATACTTCGGTCAATAGGGAGTTTTAGCCAACCGTTTTCGCAGGCCCGATACGGTACGATGGGATCCTCCAGTACGAAGTGCGCGTGCGCTACCGCATAAGACTCGCATGTGCGCAGTCCGTACCGGAGGGTCCCCTATAACGGTACCCTAAAACTCCCTTAAATTCCTGCTGGAAACACTGCGTCGAAACGCAATTGTGTGGTTCGACCTCAACGTGAAATGAGGTATATGTCCCGGGAAGAGGCGCGGAGTTCGCCTTGAATTGGGCCAATCAGGGCGTCAGAATCTGCCCCGTTGGTTCACTCCCACGAGGCTGTCTCGAGATGCACCAGGGACCGGTACCCCCTACGACCCCGCCGCACCTGAGCCTGCTGTCGACCACGGCGTGGGGGCCGTCACCCATCCGGGCCGTGCAGCAGGGGTGCCAGGTGGTGCAGGTGTACTGCGTGGCCATGCAGCGCAGGTACTGCTCGCTCCACACGTCGCCCTCGCCCTCGCAGGCCGGGAACACCGTGGGCCACAGCCGCGTGCCCAGCCTCGCGAACGCCGCAGTCTGCATGATCTCCACGGCCTTCTTGGCGCCTGCAGAGGGACTCGTCGTTGTACGCGCGTCGCTCTTTGAAGGGCTCTTCGTTACGGTGCTGGCACAACAAGTATAACGACAGTTACGGTTTTATGAATTCATGTCCACACTCGAGGACAACTTTCTAAAACAAAACACGGGAAGAAAAGTTGCGGGCACGTATTCTTTCCTTTGCATACAGTTTTCGTGACCAAATTTTCTGCCGTTGCGGCTCCCTCAAACTCCGTAGCCTCTAGAGCTACCACAAATTTCAAAGAACAGAACCTAAAGATATATGTAATCTTATGCAAAGCTTCTCCGAACACTGGCAAGTGCGCCACAGAAGCATGGAGGGCAGGGTTATCGTTGCGCATATTGTCCGCTGTAATACACACGTTGTACGCGGAGCAAGAAACAAAACACACAATTCATTATATGCACGGAAACGTGTTTTGATGTTTGGTTGTTGTTGGTTTTGTAGAATGATTTTATGACATTGCACTTGCCGAACGCTGCAGCCTCGACTTCCTCGGGATGCGAGAGGTAGTTGGGGTTGATGAGAGGTTTGCCGTGCGGGTCTGTGGTCTTTAGCCGGACGTAGCCCCTGGACTTGGGCCTGTTCAGTACGGGCGCCAGCTGGAAGCCGAACTTGCCGCGATGAGGCTTGTAGTACGCGTCGTACACCTTTCGCAGGGGGGGGGGACAAAATAAAAAAATATATTGGCGGAGATCGGATATCATTTCCTGCTGTGCGTATGCGCGCAGCGCGACATAAAACATTCTCAGGACAAGAATATGGTTATCTCTGCACAAAAACGGAAATAACAGAGAGAAAAGAAGGAAAAAAAAAACATAAACCCTTTTGCGTTTTTTTTTACTTTTTTTTTTTTTGTTTTTTGCGGTGTAAATTTTGTTTTTGGATGGCTCAGCACGGCTCAGCCAGAAGGAAGTGCACATCTTCTCAGACACCTCGAGCAAGTCTGTAGCAGCTGTGGCGTATCTGAGAACCACAGACTCAGATGATGCGTGTCATGTCGGCTTTATAATAGACAAAGCTAAGCTAGCACCACGTCCGCAGTACACCATTCCCAGGCTCGAACTGTGCGGTGCGGTACTGGCTGTGGAGCTGGCAGAGCTCATTCAGAAAGAAATAGACAAACAAATAGATGTGGCGCATTTCTACACTGACAGCAAGGTGATTTTGGGCTACATACACAACCAAACAAGGAGATTGTCCGTGTATGTCAGCAACAGGGTGGAAAGCATCAGAAAATCTACACAACCAGAACAATGGCACTAGGTTCGGACCGATACAAACCCGGCAGATCTTGCTACAAGATTCGTGCCCGCAGCCCGGCTGAGGGAGACGGCTTGGCTGACTGGTCCAGAGTTCTTAAATTGTCAAGAAGAGTCTTCATGCGTCTTACAGAACGAGTTTGATCTGATAGACCCAAGCACTGATGCCGAGATCCGGCCCGAAGCAAGCGTCTCAGCAATTAGTGTGACCACAAAGGGATTCGGCACTAATCATTTCAGTCGTTTTTCAAGCTGGTCTAGACTGTTGCCTGCAGTTGCATACCTCACACGTGCTGCTGACAACTTTTGGCGCCCTTCTCGTTCCGAGACAGCTGATCTACCACGTGGCCGCCTTCGAAGAGGACAGCTATCTGTGGATCATTTGTCTCTTGCGAAGAATCTCGTCATTCGCTCCGTCCAACTACAGGTTTTCCCGCTCATTTTAATCCAAGTGACGACCAATTTAATCCCGGGGTCACTCAATTTAATCCAAGCGCCATACAATTTAATCCAAGCGCCAAACAATTTAATCCCGAGGTCAGTCATTTTAATCCACAATATATATACGCACTTATTGTGTTCAGTGGTCGTGTTTCGCTTAAACATTTGGTAACTTAAAACAATTGTTTATACAATTAGAATTTTGGGGGGCAATTAATAATTTGATTACTAATGTGATTACTTTGAGTTACTAGTCCCACTATTGACGAGGCTTATTGATGTGTTGGTTACTCTTTGTAGAGCGCAGCTCTTAGGCACCCGTTTCCGGCTTGAACGGCGTCAGCGTCGGCGTCGGCGTAACCACGCGGTGCATGATGGGTAAATTCCCCCGCTAAATTTAGCGGAAAGTTTCCCCCGCTACATCTAGCGGAAAGTTTCCCCCGCTAAATCTAGCGGAAAATATTCCCCACTTAAGTTAACGGAAAATTTTCCCCGCTAAATCAAGCGGAAAAGTTTCTCCACTATATCTAGCGGAAAGTTTTCCCCGCTAAATCTAGCGGAAAATTTCCCCCGCTTTATTTAGCGGAAAACTTTCCCCGCTAAATCTAGCGGAAATTTTCCCCGCTAAATATAGCGGAAAATATTTAGCGGGAAATTTTCCCCGTTAAATCTAGAGGAAATGTTTTCCAGCAAGATTTAGCGGAAAATTTGACCCACTAAGTCTAACGGGAAATTTTACCTGCTAAATCTAGCGGAAAATTTTCCCCGCTAAATCTAGCAGAAAATATTCCCCGCTATATTTAGCGGAAAATTTCTCTCGCTAAATCTAGCGGAAAATCTTCCCAGCTAGATTTAGCGGAAGATTTGCCCCACTTAGTCAGTCGAGAGTTTTCACCGCTAAATCTAGCGGAATATTTTTCCCGTTAAATTTAGCGGAAATCTTTTCCAGCCAGATTGATTTAGCGGAAAATTTGCCCTGCTAATTCTAGATGGAGAAATTTTCTGCTAGATTTAGCGGGAAAAATTTTCCGCTAAATCTAGCTGGGAAAATTTTTAGCTAAATATACCGGGGAAAATTTTCCGCTAGATTTAGCGGGGGAAATTTTCCGCTAAACATAGCGGAAAAATTTTCCCGCTAGATTCAGCGGGGAAACTTTTCCGCTAAATTTAGCCAGGAAATATTCCTGCTAAATTTAGCGGGGAAAAAATTTCCGCTAAATTTAAAAGAAAAATTTTTTCGCTAAATTTAGCGGAGTAAATTTTACGCTAGATTTAGCGCGGAAAATTTTCCGCTAGACTTTGCGGGGCAACATTTCCGCTGAATCTAGCTGAGAAAAATTTCCGCTAGATTTAGCGGGGAGAATTTTCTGCTAAATATAGCGGGAAACATTTTTCGCTAAATTTAGCAGGGAAAGTTTCCTGCTAGATAAGGCGGCGAAGATTTTCCGCTGGACAGCGGGGCGAATTTTGCGCTAAATCTAGCTGGGAAGATTTTCTGCTAGATTTAGCGGGAGAAAGTTTCCGCTAGACTTAGCGCGGCAAATTTTCCGCTTTATCTAGCTAGTAAAAGTTTCCGCTAAATTTAGCGGGGAAAAATTTCCACTAGATGTAGCGGGAAAATTTTTCTGCTAAATTTAGTGGGAAAGTTTACCCATCATGCTCCGCGTGGTAACGCCGACGGCGACGCCGATGCCGACGCCGTTTAAGCCGGAAAGGGGTGCCTAAAAGCTGTACTCTAAAAGGAGTAACCATATCAATTAAGCCTCGTGAATAGTAGGAGTAGTAACACAAAGTAATCACATTAGTGATCAAATTATCTATTGCCCGCCAAAAATTCTAATTGTATGAAGAATTGTTCTAAGTTACCAAATGTGTAAGCGAAACACGCCCAGTGAACACAGTAAGTGCATATCTATATTGTGGATTAAATTGACTGACCTAGGGATTAAATTGTATGGCGCTTGGATTAAATTGAGTGACCCCGGGATTAAATTGGTCGTCGCTTGGATTAAAATGAGCGGGAAAACCTGTAGAATTGGAGAAGCCAGCAGCAAACGCTGGGCTGTGCTGTTTACGTGCATGAGCATTCGGGCGGTCCACATCGAAGTCATAGAGTCCATGGATGCTTCAAGTTTTATTAACGCTCTCAGAATATTTTTTGCACTCAGAGGACCTGCGAAACAGCTACGATCCGACTGTGGAACCGATTTCGTCGGAGCATGTTCAGAGCTCAACCTGAGGACTAGTGGTCTCGACAACAACAAAGTGCAACCATTCCTTTCAAGCCAAAATTGCAGTTAGGTTTTCACCCCTCCTCATTCGTCTCACTTTGGAGCAGCTTGGGAGCGAATGATGGGAATCGCACGTCGTATTTTGGATTTCAGGAATCGCATGTCGTATTTTGGACTTCATGTTGTTGGAACACAGACCGAGCCGTCTCAGCCTGAAGTTCTGGTGACATTTTTGGCAGGGGTTTCAGCAATCATAAATGCTAGATCTCTTATTCCTGTTTTGATGGATCCGGAATGCTGGGACATCTTTTCTCCGTCTACACTCTTTACCCAGAAGGTTGGCGGAGACACGTTACCGCCCGGCGAGTTCAACGTCAGGGATCTCTACAGAAGTCAGTGGCGTCAAGTGCAGTGGTTGGCACACTCCTTTTGGCACCGTTGGCGACGTGAGTTCCTGACAACGCTTCAGAGCCGTCGCAAGTGAAAGGATAGCCTTCGAGACCTCAAGGAAGGTGACATTGTGCTCCTAAGAGACAAACAGGTTCACCGCAACGAGTGGCCTATGGGTGTGATCGTGAACACTTTCCCGAGTGCAGACGGAGAAGTACGAAAAATAGAGATCAAGACGGCGACCAGAGCAGAACTAAAAACTTTCCGAAGGCCAGTCACTGAGACTGTCCTTCTCATCTCAAGTGAAGACTGATCCGAAACTTCAGTGCGTTTCCAGATTTTGTAAACGTTGCCTTATAGTGTCATAGTGGTATCTCGTGATACCAGACGGGGAGTGTGCTGTTACTGCGGTGTAGTTGAGTTTGGACTTGCTCGGGTTAGCCGCATCGCGTTGGCATCAGATTGTGCCGTGTGCGTTTTCTTCCTTTTTTGTTTTTGGACTCGTTCGATCTGGGACCATCATGTAACTCGCTACTAGGAAGCACCGTCTTTTAAGGTGGTTGTTATGGACATAAAAGTACAGTTTTCTATGACATCCAATCGTTCGCTACCTGAGGAGTGGCCGCTCTAAGGCGCGCCATGGAATCAGAATACTTTGTGACAAAAAACGCAATGCATTTTCAGTCGCCTTGAGAACTCACCTCCTTCGTGAGCCCGCTGTCCAGAAGGTAGCGCTCTCCCTCGCTGCTGCTGGGCGAGATGGACAGTAGCACTATCTCGATGTCCGGGAAGTCCAAACTGGCGTTCACGTGCGGAGTGCTCACGAAAGCGACGGCTTCGATACCCGCCGGCACGGCCAGGGGCCCTGCGTCAGGACGAACGGCTCGAACGTGCGGGCTAAGGCGGCAGCCCTCGTGCACCAAGTCAGGTCGCGTGCGGAGCCCTACCATCTCTCGCCACCTATGGCACTTTTCTCGCAACCTGATCTGAGGGCACTTCGACCTGTACCGTCATGCCAAGCTGCTCTCAGACGCTCCTGCGCGCGATCATCGATCATTGGTCAAAGAACAAGCAGCTCTCATTGCTACCCCGTGGTCACGCGCTGTTTTGTTGTCAAAAGAGACGCGTCCACCTTCTTGCCACCGAGACCTCGGGGCTTCTTGTGGGTTTGATCGCTCGAAGAAGTTAGGTCACTGACACCGAGTGTATGGTGATGTAGGGCTCGAACCGCAAACAATGACTAATAACGCGGGACCTCGGAGTACTGTCAGTGTCCTTGCACTACCGCCTAGAAGACAAATGGCCTGCACCGTTCCCATCCAACCTTCATCACTAGGGGATCCACACAGCGGCGCCTGGCTTGCGTCAACAGCTCCACCAGCGCGTCCTGCAGCGTCTAACAACGAGCGCGACGATTACACGCGGAGGTTCCAAGACGCAGACGCGCTTGCCGCTTTGCGGAGACTCTCGCCAAGCTTCCTCTTGTTCGACGCTTGGGCGGGTCTGAGGTCCACTAACGATGATTCCATGCGAAGTCCTTGTCTTCTAGGTAGTCTTGGTTTGACGCGAAGATAAATTAGAAGAGTACGTTATTCGAAATGATAATCCCAAGTCTCGAAAACGTCCTCGAGCTTGCCGTATAACAATTCAGCAGTGTAGCAAGACCTGAGCTATTCGAGTTTCAAGATTGGCGAGTAGATGTTTCGGTGGCGCCCTCTTATGGTTCCTATCCTTGACGTCATGTCCAAAATAACCGATAGCGAGCGACAAGGATACGATGGTGCGTAAAAAGCGCGATGGAAGCCATCCTGTTCCTAAATCAACGCTGTCAGAGCTGAGAGTGTGACAAATATTTCCGTCGATGAGAGCAGAAAATGTTCCCGCTCGAGACGGTGAGTGATTGACCAATCGTGGAAGGCCGATCACAGCGGCGCTTTGGGTCACGCACATCGCCAATTGATGAAGTGAAATTAACTTCTGGTGCCTGGCGCAAATTCCTACCGGTTTGGTAATGTGTAGCATAATGTATTGACGCTTTACACACGCGCCAGAATACAGCCGCCATTGCTGACCTTCTCCTGTTTTACCGAGATACCAAGCCACTGAAATTGGTGTGGACGAGCCTCCACAAAGGCCAATGCTGGGGAGCAAGACACAATAAAATCTAAAATGTCGATAACCTGGCCTGCTATGGTAATAATGAAGTGAAGTAAACGTAATAAGGGGGAACAAAAACTGAAGGTCAGTTATGGCGGCGCCCATGCACAGCTGCTGCAAAGCGTCTATACCTTCGTTGCGGTTCGGCGCAGTGCGGTGCAGTTTGGCAAAACAACCGCGTTACTTTCAACGCGTGCCAGTCGAGCGAAAGTGCGACACCTTTCGAGCCGAAGGCGTACTGGGTGACGGTGGAGATGCTCTTCAGATTCAGCTCGGCGTCCGTCTGCGTGGTGGCGGCTATTCCCCCGACGAAGAAGTGGTCCTGGAGACCCTCTCCCACCGGCAGGTCAGCGACCACGGGAATCTGACGAGGCAACGATTCTGTACTATTCTACGACAGTGCCTTTGAGGCTTACAAAAGTGACCTTATGGCCACACGTATAGACCACGAAATTATTTTAAGCCGAAACCTTTTCTTCCTTATATGTGTAAGCATTTTATTAGTCTAGTCAGATTTCTAGATTAGGAATGCTTACGTTAGACTGGCGGGTGTCCCAGTGCTATAACGTCTGCCTCAAAGTTGCTGGTTACATTCAAACACGTTATGGTAAAGGGTGAAATAGTACGATCAAAACGTAGATAAGGTCTGCGTTTTGATAAGGTCCGAGGGAACAGCATTCCCGTAGATATCTCATTAGGTGAGACATCCTGTAGAGTGTCGCACCCGCAAAACCATCTTCCTACAGGTCCCCGAGAAGCTCATCAACGCCGATTAGCCAAGTGACACCTTTCGATCTCAAATGTGATTTTCGCTGGGGCACTGTCAAATGAAAGACTTCAAGTTATTTTACAGCCATCTTAAGCCGTGTCAAAGTTAACTCACGTCCAGCTCTTTCAGGTGATGCGCCGGTCCAATGCCCGAGAGCATCAAGAGTTGAGCCGTGCCGATGGCGCCGCATGACACGATCACTTCTCTCCTGGCCAGCACCTTGCGGTCTTCGGCGCCTCTTTCAAACTTGACTCCGTACGCATGCTTCTTTTTGAACAGAATCTGCGTCCAGAATCAAGCCGGGAAATGGTACGATGCACTAACGTGTTCACGAACTTCGTTCGTTCGGAGTTTTAATTTTATCGCTCGTATACCGCTTCCACTTGAACGCGGTGAAATTTGAATATTTATTTTTCATTCAGCGCCAGGGGAACCAAGTGGCGGAGCTGCGAAGAAATACAGCATTACAAGCGTGGTATCTAGGCTGGGGCACTACGAGTGCAAGCCCATGCAGCATGTCATCGTGAAAGTAACGTTGGCAGGATTTCAGCTTCACGTGCTTGCCGACACATGCGAATACATATAACAGCGGTCAAATGCAGAGCTCCAATGTTTCCAAATTTATAGTCAAGCGTGCGGCCCCCACAACCCAGTATGCGCGTGTTCCTAACTTCGGAAAGCGAGCAAATCATGCGCCATACGCACGAACGCTAAAGATGGTGCTTGCCAGACCAGTCGTTTGGAAAGGTCTATGGGCGGGCGCGCTGTTTACAAACGGGTGGTTTGCTGAGGACGCGCAGGGGCTTTGTCGTTCCAATATTGTGTTACTCTGCGTACGTAGAGCCCCGTTATGCTAAAAAGGAACGACGTCCGAAGTTAGCGCTTGTTGTCCTGGGACGGTTAAGATGGCGGGCCACTGCGGAATAAAAAGAGAGAGAGCGAAAGATATCCTATTGAATAAACGAGAAAACGTCGGTCATTATGCGCCTGTGCGGCGGTGTGTCACCGTCGTGAAAATAAAGACCAAAGAGTGTGCGCGTCGGATAAGAGGGACGAGGAAGAGAATGGAAGAGGAACATCCGTCTTCAGAGCACACGGGATGCTACGAGCCGAAGGCCTCAATCAAGGCGCTCCAAAAGCATAACGTCATGCTCTCAGCATCTTTCTTTGGAAATATTCTTCGCAGCTAATAAAAAAAAATATGAAAGTGCACCCGGAACATTCGCTTTTATACTGCATGTAGGCGTTTGCGTGTCTTTAGCCTTCCACTACGCCTCTGACCTACAAACCAGCTGTAGAAACGCCGCCTACTATTCATTATGGTGGGCGTCTGCGAGAAAGCAAAAAAGAACGAAAAAAAAATGTGCGTGCCAGAGGGGAGGTCGCTGCCTTTCTTATGAAGGGCATGGCCAGTGGGCATGTCTTTGAACATACCTGCATATATGAAGAAGATTATAGACCTGCGTACATATTTTTTACAACTTAATTTTTTACACATACGTTTTTCACAACGGGCTCGAAATAATTCTGACACGTTATAAACGATTATTTCTCATAGATATCTCATAGATCTGATCTGGTAAACACTCTATGCTTATTATTATAATGCAATTAAATGCAAAGGTGCAAGCAAGCTGGACAAGAATGACGAAAATAATCTCTGGAGAAGGGGAACAAGTTTCGTCACTCTATGCTTATAGTTATACACAAGTTCGAAGTGCTCCAGGATTACCCGACAGATGACGCCAGTGTGCCAGTGTGCTAAACTAGTACAAGATAACGCAACGCACTCATTACAATCAAGCGCAAATGTGTAAACTAACCATTAGCCTCAAGCCGAAAATATTAGCTGTACGTAATCTACACCTTGTTTTAAACAATCTATGTATAGTATTGTCAAGCACAATGATACAAGGAGTTCATTGTTGGTGGCTGAGGTAGCTGTTTCCAGATGGGAAGGACGAACACGTGCCATCTCAGCAATCTTACCCTGGTAGCCATGCTGAGCAGAGAGATATGCAAGTTCTTCCGTTTCCCCACAATAGGTTGAATGAAGGCTTTACTCGAACTGTAGCGCTGGCCGTCCTTCACATTTACCTGAATCCGAGAGAAACCTGCGCAGCATCAAGCAAATCACGTCATGTGAATATATTGGGAAAGCGTGCCGTCGCAAGCTTACGACAACCGCATCACTGGTCGTAATCGATATTTGTTCGGTGTGCGAAAAAATTAGGAAGTTGGACCGCATATTTCGTCTGTGCACGTGCTTTTATTTGTATGAGCCCCTGTGGTCAAGGAAATAATATTCAGGAAAGGAGTGGAAACAAATAAAAAACATACGCTCCCCTCCCCCCACCCCCCTTACGTTGCATTCTTTCATAAGTTATTTTACAAAGCACCACTTTTCACGCTCACCCACTGAACCCTCATCCAAACTTCGTATTCAGAGCACTCGAATTGTTGTTCCCCTCACAAATATCATAAATTCTGTGTGAATGTTCTCGAAATAAATAAATTTCATCTTGAGTTTGAACTTGAGAAGTATGCAGTATCAACTTCAAGGAAGGGCACCTAGCGAAGCATTGTGAAAACGATTTCTTCAAACTTTCTTGCTAGTTTCCAAGCATAAAAGTGCCAAAGTCGAGAAAAACTACAATGTGTCCCGGAAAAAAAAAAAAAAAAAGTTCTTTTACTGCAAAAAACAAAACAAAGCATCGATGAATCCTTAGTCTTCGCTCAAACGTAGCGTTAGTGGTGTGAACCAGATGCCGCAGTTTAAGAACTGACCGTTAGCTTATTCGAAAGTTATTTGATTTCCTGAAACTTTCAACGGAAAAGTGGGACCCGTTCCAGGTCTCCCTCGTTCTCCCTGGTTCTTATTTGAAGTCCGGCCACAGGTGTATGACTTGAGGGAGAGTATACTTGCCCGTTTGCGTAGGACCGTTGTAGTCGACGTAATCGTACCCCAATTCCTTGCCCGCTTCGAGGAATACATCGCTGAGAACCGTCTTAGTATTAGGGTAACCGATCGGCAGCTCGCCCTTGTGTCCGTGGTAACCTGCACATACATGATTAGATGGCGGGCATGAACCAGTGTCAAAGGCAGACCGACCTCTCGCTGTTGAAGTCTAGACATTCAACGCCTAGAAAGTCACCAAAACATGAGAATGGATGGCAGGGCGTCTCTTTCGAATGCCCAACCTCCCGCACACGTTCCTTGCCATCCGCCATGCTTTGGCGTGCGTGCGCACGCTAAAGGCTTCCAAGACGCCGAAGGGTTGTCGAAGGTATGCGGAGTGCAACTTCGTCTGCTTCTCGCACAGGGGCTCCGATGATATCAGAACGCCAAACTCTTATTGGCTAATTGAAAAAAAAGATATAGCGGGTAGACCTCCAGTCATCTAGCATTGAGGTCTACCCACTATCCTTCAATCAAAGCCAATCAGAACTCGGCGTCGTTCTGAAAGTCACCGCAACCCCTGCGCAAGAAGCAGACGACTTGCTCCCCGCATAGTACGGTGCCTGGAGCGCGACTTCGGCCTGTGTGTTTAACGTCCTATGCTGCCCATACGCCAAAAGTGGTTTCGAAGTTGCAACAAATAACGTCACAGAAGCCGAAGTGTCATAATATTGCATGTCGCGATCCTGGTAGTTGCTCGTAAAAACGCTAACGAGAAGCTAAGAGTAGCACAATCGAACGCGAGTGTCGCTATCATCACGGCGTCCCAATCTACGTCCAAACTTCTGGCTGCCGAAGCTTCCGTGGAACTGGAGAGCGACCTGCAGCAGAACAGGCGTCTGCCACATACACCACAGCTAATGAGACGCCGCCAGGATCGCGAGTGGTGACAGCATGAGACTTCTATGTCGTCATCAGGCGGAAATTAAGGGACCACTTTTTTTGGATGCGGTAAACACTCCAGTCGGAGACGCGTTCCAGGCACGCATAGGGAGCGCGCGCTGCAGGTGGGAGAAAAGAAGCTCATCCCTGCCGTTCTCATCCCGCCAATGATTATAGTTGGCTTGATTAGGGTGTGAACAACCGCGTTTCTTTTTTTTTTTTTGTAATAGCGATAGAATTTGTAGTACCAAAAAGTCATGAAACCGCGTGCGTCCGTTCGTCGCGGTTAATGGCTAATTTAGCGAGAAACCTGAATTGGTGCATATAGTTGACGCAATGCTGCGTCACATGACGTGGCGTCACGCGACACTGCGTCAAATGATGTGACGTCACGCGACACTGTGACGTCGTGTGATATCACACTATCACGTGAGTTCTACGCAGTTTACACAAAAGAGCGCGCAGAACCACCCATGAGTTCCACCAAAGTTGAATGAAGAAACGATCAACAAAACAATGTCCACGTATATTTATTTACTTAAAATCCAAAGGAATAAATAACTCATAAGGCAAATATTTCCAAAACATGCGATCGCATTACATGTAGTTTTTTTTTTTTAATCATAATCAGTCTCTCAGTCTTTTTTTTTTTTTTTTAATACTGTAAACGACGTAATTTCCGCGAGGACCTCAATTTCCCAAATTTCGCGAATCGCCTAAAATTCGCGAAATATAGATCCCGCGAACAATTTCGGTAAAATGTAAACACATTGAAATCTATGTTGAGATCCCACCGCGTCGCGAAAATTAGAACCCACAATTTTTTTCTAAAACTTCAGCTTGGACCTGAATCGCGAAACATTGAGTCCGCGAAAAATTAGTCGTTTACAGTAACTTCCGAATTTTTATTTTATAATGTTTCTACTTTTTGAAGGCTGAAACACATCTTCGAAACAATGAGGGAATAATTCAAGTAAATCAGATGATAAAAAGTAGTTCCACACCCTTTTCGAAACGGAAAACTAGCTAAAAACTTCAGCGGTAGCCGTAAATGGAACTTGATGCCAGCTGATCGGTGGTGTGTGATCGTCGTTGTGACCAAGTGGGTTGCCTGCGAACCGCGGCAGAGAGACTAGCGCGTCACAGCAGAAGGAAGGGAGCCAGAGGGAGCGCAGCTGATGCGGCGTTGTCGCGATGGAATGCGACGAAGCTAGCAGGTGGCGGCGCGCGTTTCACATGACCGGGGGCGGGGAGGAACTTGACTGTTCTGTCAGCTACCTTCCGAAGAAAAAAGTCTACACTTTTCTAGAAGCTTGACAGAGTACAGGGAGTTTCCGATGAAAGTAAACCGTGTTTTCCGGCCCGATTAAATAAACTATACATCGCAGAAAGCTCAAACTCCGTGAGAAAGTGACGCTAGCGTCACATTCTTACCGAACACGAACGTTTGAGAACTTGACGTTACCTGGATCAAAAGGTAATTGAAAAAGACAAAATTTCTCTATGAGCGGACGTTCACATAAGCCTAATATTGTCGATACAAGACTTAACATTCTGGACACTTGTGGGACTTTAATCAGTTTAAAAGGACACTTGTCAGCAAGAGGGAGAATATTGCTTTCTTCCTTGCTGACAAATGATTTTCACTGAAATAGGTGCTATAGAGGCGTTCATAATGACTTTTTTTTTTGTTTGATGAATAGTAGGCTTAGATGGACGTCCGCTGTAAGAGACAATTTGTGTTTATCGATTATTTTTTTATCCAGATGGCGCCATGTTCTCAAGTTGTCCTGTTCTATCTCAACCGCTATCGTCACATTCTTACCGAACACGAACGTTTGAGAACTTGACGTTACCTGGATCAAAAGGTAATTGAAAAAGACAAAATTTCTCTATGAGCGGACGTTCACATAAGCCTAATATTGTCGATACAAGACTTAACATTCTGGGCACTTGTGGGACTTTAATCAGTTTAAAAGGACACTTGTCAGCAAGAGGGAGAATATTGCTTTCTTCCTTGCTGACAAATGATTTTCACTGAAATAGGTGCTATAGAGGCGTTCATAATGACTTTTTTTTTGTTTGATGAATAGTAGGCTTAGATGGACGTCCGCTGTAAGAGACAATTTGTGTTTATCGATTATTTTTTTATCCAGATGGCGCCATGTTCTCAAGCTGTCCTGTTCTATCTCAACCGCTACACTGTTAGAAAAACTCCTGTCAAAATATGGGACACATACATGCTAACCTTGTTGCCACAACATGTACTGTATTACCGGACTACAGAACATGTTCCATACTTCTTTAGTACGGGACATGTTGTTGCTGTATGGGCAGCCACAACAAGTTCCATACACCATCATCACGGAACAAGTACTGTATGCTACAGGAAATGTACCATCGTGGCACACAGCAGCACATGTTCTGTTGCAAGCCATGCCAGAACATGTACCATTTTTACGAAGTACATTACATGTTCCAATGCGTCCAAAACGACACAGGTTACATTTCTTGTACGTACGGAAAAAGTTCAGTCTTGTTTGTGATAGTACTCGCCCCATTTTATGTTACTGCCGCTATTCACGAGTACATCCGGGCTTTGTATGTCACATGCCAAGCTCCTCCTTGAAAAAGTTGATATGCGACATGCAAAACAGGGATGTCCTGGCAGTTTGCAGGCGCAACTTGATGCACGTCTTTGCAACATAAAATTACCTGCAATGCGCAAATGTTCCCCAAACTTGTATGTATGGAAAATTTGAACTGTCGTATCTAATGCGAGCACTATCCTGAAAACAGAACAATGAATCTGTGACATATATACTCAATAGAACAGCCAGGAATGCCATGAGAAAGTGTTCACATGCTACGTCAAGTTTAGAGAGCATTGTACATGTAGGGACGGGGATAAAGGCAGATAAACATTTGTAAAAAAATCGTTATCAAACTAAGTTCACGCTTGGTCCTTTTGGTTCCAACCCATAGCAACGGACCCATTGCAAAGAAGACTGAACAGTTTGCTGCTTCAAAAATATTTACATTTATTTTTCTTTTAAATGACTAGCGCAGATACACAATAAAAAAAAAAAAAACACAGTTCATGCCGCAAATATTTTGGGGGGCAGCTCAGCCATAAAAAAAAATATCAAAGTGAGCAGTCTCCTAAAAAAATCTGACCAAAAATTATGCTGACATGCTACATCTCGAAAAGAACCATCTTGGCCTATACAACAAATTGTAATATTAACAATAGAAAAGAAAGATTAATCTAAACAAGCACCGAAGTTTCTTTCCACTTCTTTTGGAACTTCGAGAACTCTTGGAGGGCTCCCTGCGCCTTCAGATGCACCAGAGCAACTTTTCTTGACGACTGCCGGGACCCCTCCTGCGGGTTCATTGCCACAAGTCGCCTGAAAAAAAAGATAACATAAATAATTTGTGGGATCTCTTAGAGGAGGATGTATAACAGAAGCTAAGGAGTTCCTGGCTCCTTCTTTAACATCTCTATCGGTTAGTAATCCAATCTGGACAAATTCTAAACCTCGTCTATAGTATACTTTCAAGCCGAGACACGCCCTTAATTTGGACAGTCCGTGCACACACCATGAGCCTCCAAGTCTGATCCTTGCATCAAGACAAATTGTGAATGTACACACAAAAAAAAAAAAAAAAAAAAAAAAACGATTTAGCTTATTGGCATTAGTTCTCAGTAATAACTGGACACATTTCGGATCTTGTGTCAGCACACAACGCTAAAACATTCTACAACCCGAGACGGAGGCTACAAAGAAGGACGAACACATCCGTCTCAATTGAAACGTATGTCTTCGAAGCCTCCATCTCGGTTTGTAGAATGTCATATTAACCAGCTCGCCTGTCTAGTAAAGTTGTACCCAACGATACTTCGGTTAAAAAAAGGAATTCACAGTACCAGTAAATGCAATATTACAAAAAAACTTGCCTGAAGTGCTTAAGCAGAATATTCTGGTTATTCGCAATTCACGAGCAAGCTCGTGAATTGCGAGGTTGGTTAGGTCATGATGGGGCGAAAATATTTGTTTGAAGGGCTCTACAGTAATTTTTATTGGCAGAGCGAAGCTCTGCCACTATGGCCAGGATTCGGGTCGTCCAATCAAAGAACATCAATGCGCGTCGTGCGTACAGCCACTTCCGGTTGAGCTGCACGACGTCGTGCATGTAGCATTACTCTACATAAA